CTGAAGGCTCTGAGATATTAGAGTGGGTTCTAATTAACTGGGTGCAGATCACAGCTCTGAAGGCTCTGAGATATTAGAGTGGGTTCTAATTAACTGGGTGCAGATCACAGCTTCCAGAACTGAATGCTTCCCCTGTGACCACTGTTTTTCTTTGTTTCATACAGAACCTCGACTATATGAATATATCCAGGAGTCATGCTCTTATCAGGGTCAGCTACTGAAGGGAAAGGGGAGAATCTTAGACTTAATCCAGCTATCCTCAGAGTGCATGTCTGAGTATCTCTGATGAAATTCTCCAGGTTTCACACCTTATCTGTGTGAGGCAGGATGATCATATACTGGACTTACATAGCATGTATAGTGATAAGACAACATATCATTATAGGCTAATTACAAAATAGATACGGAAACTCATGTGCTCTCTTACATCTGACATGAGAGAAACATGTAAGGTAATAAAGCAGCAGGATCCTTTGAGTTTTTGCTACTTTGCTTTGAAAAATATACTCATTCTACATTACACTGGATGTAGTAAAAATCACTATAATTTTTAAAAAATTGGCTGTTTTTAGTGCTCAGATTTAGCTCCTAATATGACAAATATCAATATATACTTCATGTTGCCGAAGCACCATGGCAGTCTTTAAGCAGGAATGGGCCTACAGTGGGAATCCTGGCCAATGATGAGAGTTATCTTCTAGAAAGGCCTTTTCATTTCTTCTTCTCTCTCTCATTTGTAAGGTAAAACACTGTTCCCCTGGGCAGACTGTTTGGTATTGCCACCTGAAGATGCTGCACCTCCTTTGACCAAGGGGAAGCCAACCAGCTGGGGGACCAAGCTACATGTTAGGGATGCAGATCTGGGTCTTTGGTGACATCACTAAGCCACTGAATTAACCCCACCCTGGAACTCGTGAAGAGAGCACATTGCTCCCAAAAGCACCATCAATATAGCTTTTGATGTTTGTTCCAGAAAGTGTTCCCACTGTTCAATACTGTTGCTTTCTTGGGTTTTCTTATCTGTTCCACTTTATCAAACGTCAAACCAACAGACTGAGGCAGAGATAGCCCCATGTTTTCAACCCATTCAAGAATCCCACTTGTACTCATCTGCTTTCTATGAATAGAGATGAAAACCTTGTGGCTCGTCAGCTTAGCCTTCATGCTTTTGAAGTCCCTTCCCTTCTGTTTCAACAATATCCCATGTGGGAATCTATATAGATGAGTATCAGTTTCTCCTCACTCCTGCATATGATAATGATTATGTGGTGGTGATAGTGGTGGAGGTAGTGGTGGTAAGAAGAAAAATGGCACCAGGATGTGACATTCTCTCTTACAAAGACTTTGACATATTATATTTAAGACCGTTGAAAACATGAAGAAAAAAAAAAAAAAACAGACCTGGACTACCAAATACCCTCACTTTCAGGCAGGGAAACTGAGGTCAGAAAGACTACAGAACATGATCAACTCTACCCAGCAGGAAGCTATCTAACAACCAAGTGCATTAATTATTTATCTCCTGATCAGGGTAGGACCATAGGAACAGGCTTCATCAAGAATCAGAAGGATGGCAAAATACCTTCATTGAGGTAATAATGACACAAATGTTTGGAGAGTAACCAACTGCTTTCTAATGGGATTTGAGCCCCACTCTACAAGGTAAAACTCATGCTTGGTAGTGAAAACTAGGCAAAGAACTTGTGGCCGCCCTAGGGAAGAACCTAGTACTATTATTCTGCTAAATGAAAATGGTACTAAATTTTCTCCAGGATGCTTGTCTTTATAGATTAGTACACATCTCAGCCCCAATCAGAGAAGCTTCTTTTTGCAGTAGATGGACATTAAAACAGAGATCCACAACTGGTCAAAGCATGGAGAAGGTGATTATTTGGTATTAAATGGGACACCCAAACCGCATCCTCATCCCCCAAGCCTCCACTCTCATTTCAGGAGCTTGTGAAACAGTGTTCTCCAGACATGACAGGGTGATTACACACATGAATTCACAATGGCTGTGACTGAACACACAAGTCCTGCACAACATAAAGCCAGCCAAAATTCAAGCACAAATGAGGAAGGACTTACTGAGTCTGACCCTGAATAGAAAAGCTATTGGCAACTGATGTCTATGGGAGGAAAGAACATTAGACTTCTTCAGTTGTGGCCCTGATAAGTAGCCCATGTACCAGTGGATAGCCCTACACTTAATACTTAGTACTTAGTACTCAATACCTAGTACTTAACAGCATCACAAAATGGGCTCATTTTAAAAAAGAGTTTGTCTGAGGATGGAGTAGGGAGAGATGGAAAGAAGGAAATAGTTAATCAAACAGTAAACAGTACAAACTATAGTTTTTAAATTTAAAAGAAAGGGGAGGTGGACCAGATGGAGACTCATTTCTCAGTCACTTTACAGAGGGTACATGTAATAAGAAGCAGTCTCTTCCTCCACAGTGTTAACCATTCAGCGTCCATGCTGTTAGTTCAAAAGAAGACAGCTGAGAGGTACCTGGTATGCAGGACACAATTAGAACCCAAAAAGTACTTGTTAAACTAAACCAAATTTATGACATGCCAGGATTTTCTACAATCCAAATTAGTGCTCCCCCAAGGACAGCTGATGAACCCTCCACCATAAAAATACAATCACGTCTAATAGGGGACCCCTCAGATTGTGGAGCTACAGTCCATTTCTTCAGAATTCTGTTCCTGATTTCACACATGTCCATGCCTCCATGGCTTTATTTATTCATGCCCTGGGAATGAGAGCAAAAAGGAGAGAGGACAGTTCAAGAGACAGAAAAACAGACAGCAAGGAGACACACCAGACTTCAAAATATGGGAAGAAGCAAAGTGCTATTTAAACTTACTTTGTGAATACACATGCATGCATGCACACACACACATATACATGCACCCCTGGGCACACACAGACAATGCAGACATGCAGTTCAAGGAAGGATATTGGTCATGGGTCCTCTGCCTTTTGGCAAGGGAGTCTTCATCACTGATGCCAGCCATCAGATATTTGAGGCCCGTGATCCAGGTGCGTGCCTCCTCCGGGTTGGAGGTAATGAGGTCCAGTGACTCCATGTGGTTGCCATGGTAGATGGTGAAACAGCAGCTGGGATCAAAGTTCCCCTCGGCCTGTCTGTGAAATATTTCAGACTGCCTGCCCTCTGTGACTTTGTAGATGGAGTCAATAAGTACTGTAAGGGAAGTGAGACACAGAGTTATAGGGCAGGTGAAAATGTTTATCTAATAATTAAGAAACGAGAAATGCAAAACCATTTTAAAAGAGAAAAGGTATCATTGTCTGTAAGAATGCTTTTAAAGATCAAATGTGCAAAACTGGCCTCAAAGGAGACTTCCTAACAATTTATCTCTGGGAGCATTCTTGACAATGTTTTCCCAAGGCAATCATTAATATAGTATGATGAGATTTATAGGAAAGAAACAATGGTGCCTATTAGGGCAAGAAGACTGGTAGAAAAGGTGGCTAATAAATACTACAAATTTATTTCATGTGTTTACATAGGGAAATATACAAAAACATTTACAATCAGATGTTATTTTGCAGAATATATAAGATGGTTAGAAAATTAAAAGAAAGTAGCACAGATTAATGTGACTCCCTTGGGAAATGTAGAGGCAGTGCAGCTTAGAAATATGGGAAGGAACAAGGTAGATCACCAGAGGAGGGGCCAAGATAGACAGAAACACCAGGCCCACTGCTAGGATGCTGTCTTAAAATGCTCAGGAGGCAGAATAGTGAGAGGTATAGTTGGAGAGATAGACAAAGGCTAGGCCTTACAGAAGCTGGGAAAACAGGCAGAGAATTACATTATTCGGGAAGCCTAACAGAGAGACAATTAAGAATTGTAACAGAGAAGTATTTGTCCGTGTTTTTTGTCCAAGTATTTGTCCACTATTTTTTGTCCATGTGGGATGTTTATTTTAAAGAAAGAATCTGAAATGTTCCATAACCTACTAACTGCCATCTACCCTATCCATTTTTCTGCCCCAAGGTCCAGGTCCTGGTTGCACCTCGGTATCAAGTCATTCCCTGCATGACTCACAGGGAAATCAACTGATGTTCAGCCCCAGGAAAAGTCCTGGCAGATCTAAGCCAATGGAAGGAGGAGGAAAAGAAGGGAGAGGAGGAGAAAGAGATAGTCCCTATCTATTTTTTCATTTTTATTTTGTGGCTCAGAGTAGCTGAAGTCTTGTTACTATTGCCTTGATTGCAATGTCAGCACCAGAGACAGAGCCTAGAGCAATGCAGAGAATAAAATAAAAAACAAAATTTCTCATGCCTGGTCTCAAGTTTCCTGTTAAAGGGCGTAAGATAGTTATGTTTAATGTAAGATTATACTTTAGAAAAATTCTTCTGTTTCTGATGGAGACAGAAGAGCCTAGTAAAAATGAAGGTGCATTAGGAGGCACTGGAAAAGGCTACCAGAAAAGTACAGAGATTTTCAACCAGTAACATTAATGTGAAACCAGAAGGAATGAGCAGATGAGAGCGACTACAGGGGATTCAACACAAACTTGGTGCTAAATCCAGAAGGTATGACAGTTACAGTGCCAGCAGGCTTGATTAAGAGACACCCAGATACCAGGAACAACATCATTGCTGAGCATGTCTAGGAGAGTTAATACGAAAGAAACTGGCATTTGAATAAATGGCCTGAATAAGAAAGAGCCATGCTCACCCAGTGGGAGTGATCATTATCCAATCGGCAACAGCCCAGAGGGAACAAAAAGGCAGGAAATAAAAGGAAACTTTCTCCCTCCTGGAGCTAGTACAGTCATCTCCTTCTGCCCAAGTGATAACAAAATTTTGTGGTCTTGAGCCCTTGGACTATGGGATTTGAATGTACAGCACCAAGGGAGCTCAGGCCTTCACCCTAGAACTGACTGTCACCCTGTCCCCTCCCTTGGCTGCAGTCCCTGAGACGTAGGCTGAGCCACGCCACTCAGTTCTGTTGCTCTCCAGCAGGCACTGGGCAACATAGATGATGACGCTGCTTAACCTCCGTAAACACATGAGTCATTTCCCCTGCTAAATCTCATCTACCTGTGTCTACCCAGGTAGTTATCTATCGACGTGTTCTGTTTCTCTAGAGCAATTCTGGTCAGAGAGATAGCTCAAGTGGGAGGAAGAAACTTGAACCGTTTAAAAACTGTTTTTAATTCATGAATCAGTTGATTGCTTGGAAGATAGCAACAGACTTTAAAGTCCATTGGATTTCTAATATTCCTTACCTTTTTTTAGGAAAAAGTCTCAAGCTATGAAACCTGATATCCTAAATAAAAAATAAAACACGATGTATCTCCAACATAAGGGAAATATTAGCATTTTAATATTTGTGGACAAGAAAGCCTTCACGGATTTCCATTCCCCAAAGATCATGGTTTATTTATTGTTTTATACTCAACAGACCCCAAAACTTGCAAAAGTATGACAGTTCCACAATCACAAAGCTTCCACAGAGCGTACTCCATACTTCCCATGTTTTACCATGCAAAACTATGTCAATCAGAGGTAAGAATTCAAAGGTTGGTTTTACTTTTTGCCTTCTCACTCTTCCGAGAGGGTCGCCATCGGAGGCGGGTCCGGTGCTCATCCAGGTAGAAGAGGCGAACGAGCCCTTTGGTGCCACGCTTCAGCTTGATCATCTGTGTCCCGGACTGCATTACACTCATGCATCTTTCAACTGCAAGAGAGGAGAGCACAGTCAGCTGCGGCTGCGCACAACGCAAGTGCATGCCGACAAGCGGAGCTCACAGTCAAGGGAACTTCTGATTCGTTCCGAGACCCCAAGGATCAGCCGACACATGTGGCAGAGGTAAACTGAGAAGAGACTTGCCAAAGAATAGATTCATCAAGCTTAATTAAGACAGCAAAAAGCCTTATGATAAAAAGTAAAATCTTACTGTAACCTAGGTTGTCCTAGAACTCCCTATAGAGCTCATGGTGGTCCTAAAGTCACAGAGACCCTCTTTCCTCAGGCTGCTAAGTCCTAGGATCACACACAGAAGTCAGCCAGTGGGCTTGAATAATAATTATGGTTGTCGCCATCATTTTCAGTGCAAGGGCCTTGTTCATGTTAAGTGAACACTCTACCATTGAGTTAAAACCCTGGCTCTTTCCAAAATAAATTCTATCTCCAGATAAATAATGTATTGCTATCGCACAAATCTACCTTTTGTTTTTTTTTTCTGTCTGTCTGTCTGTATAAGCCTAATGATAGCTTGACACCTGGATTTATATTTCTAAAGAAAGTTTTCAAACATGAAATCTTGTGAGTTTTAATACAACCAGATGTATAAATACAACCAATGAAAGCGCTTTAAAATGCAACCCAAAGAAACAGGATTATCACAAGACCCTTTGTTAATCAGCTGGCCGCTGATTCCATGTGCGTTCGCGTTATAGTTTTGTGGGTTTGGTAAGTTGAATACATGTTTTAGGTAGGTGGAAAACACATTTTCACAATTATTAGTGCGTGTAAGCTGCTGAGATTTTTTTCCATCTAGAGGAAAACTTGATAAGTGAATTTAGGTAGTATCTAATCACTTTCTGTCCATACTCAAGCTCTTATTTACACCTGCTGTGCCCTAAGATCAATTTCCCCGGAAGCAAACATATGTTCATTTATCCATTTCCCCCGGCTCAGCAAGGCTGTCCAAGTTTTTCTTTAGAAACACTCCTCGCAGATTTTGTCCATCTTTGGTAGCTTGTCAATCACCCCATCCAGGAATGGCCACCTAACTTAAGCTTAGAGCAAATGGACTTTCTCCAAAAACACTCGAACCTTGAGTGGATGATTGACTAAAATGGCCTGGGTCATTTCGACAACTACGCTCTAAAGTGTGGCCCTGGTTGGTCTCCCCAAGAGGCCACAGCTGGCACATTTCTTGCTGTAAGAATGACAAGGGCCTACAGCATCCTCCGACTTCTGCAAGTTTTCCGATATCCTTCGAAATATTCCTTTTCATCGTATCAGCCAGAAACAGACTAATTGACATATCTAGCTGAGTCCTTGCCTTATCAAGCAGGTGCTGTGAGAAGCAGATTATTTTAAATGATAGGCAAACTTCAGCAATGTCAAACCTGAGCGCTTGGGGGTAGAGAGTAGAGAGTCTTTACTGGGAAAAATGATCTAATTCAACAGTTTTGGTACATTCAACATGTACAGGATCCCCATTAAAGGTAATGTCAACATACCCACCTTAACCTAGTGGAATCACACCTAGAAAGAATCAGAATCTAGGAAGAATAACACAAAATTATAGTTGGGGGATTCAATGGTGGGAGGAGATGCAGTAATAAAAACAATGTTTAAGAAAGCTGGACATGGAGATACAGCTCGGAACACAGGGTCCTGAATACTTCCTCAAAGACAGAGAAGAATGAAGGGAGCGGAGAAGAATACGAGAAAGAAAAGGAAAACAAACACAGAAACTTAAACTGCATGCCACAGAACAAAACAAAAAACCTGGGGTTTGCGTTCACAAAAGTCAGTGAGGTCTACCTCTCAGCAAGAGCCATTTATCGTAACATTGAAAGCTAAAAAACTGAATTGTTTTTTTGTTTTTGTTTTGTTGTTTTTTTTTTTTTTTTACTCTTCAAGATTTTTATTTTTAGTATTTAACTGGTTATACACATATTTCTGACCTGGCTTTCGATTTAAGCCCTGAAACAAGGTTTGTATAAGAAGCCAGTTCCACTCAGGAGCCACTATCAACACAAAGCCAAGTTACAACATTTATATCATAGCTGGCATCTGAAGAAAAGATATACCAAAGGAAAGAAAAGATATTAATCTAGAAATGTTAAGAAATTCAAGCCACACAAAACTCAAAAACTATTAAAAATTTTAATAGCATTTCTGTACCCACCTGTGTTGGGACTAGAAAATGCAATTAAATCTGTATTGATAAAATAATTCACTTATTTAGCATGTTTACCTAATTGTATCAATATGGCACCCCTGAAAATCTAATGTTCTTTTATCAATGAGGTACTTTGCTAGTTAGGAAACCAAAAGCCAATTCTGCTGCCTCCCAAGAGCAGCCATCTTCAGTAATTTGCTCAGTAGTGAGTTGCAGCTAACCCCTTGCTTATTTACATGTCATGATTTGATACATTTTTCAATTCATCTGTGTGTTCCTCTGGCAGTAGTAATGGACTGTAAAGCTACCTCACAGTGAAAAATGATGATACCTGCACAAAAGAAGACTGCATGACAACATTTCAGGTAGAAGAACATATTTTTAAATTACTGGGACGTGTAACACCGGCTTTTGTTTTGCTGGAGGAGACATGCCCCAGCATGAAGACCTGGTAATATTGCCTTAGCTCTAGGGTTTTTCAGAAAGCATGTGAGGAAGGGTATTGACTAAAGAACTCACCTCACATTTTGGCTCATGTTCTGCAAGCTTTCAGTTTATTTAGCCAGGTGACTGTGGTAGTGTGGACAGAAGGGGCCACATGGTTGAAGGCAAGGTTCTGAAACAACCTCTGGCTTTGGGTATAGAGAGAATGGCGTTTCTGTTAGTGAGTGTCTCTACAGTACCATAGATCTTTGGCTGGGACTTTTGGATTTTACCTCGGTTCACAAGCTGACCACTTCACACCAGGAATTCAAGATAGCTTCAACACACCTACCTTAACCTAGTGGCATCAAGAAGGAATCACACAAGAGAAGTGAGCTTTTCAGAGAACTCAAGATAGAGCCATCAAGTCAAAGCAACCAGCACAGACTGAGAAGTGTGGAAGTCACTGACAGCAGTGACACTGAGCACAGATCATGTCCTAAATAGAGGTTCCTGGAAGAAAGTCCTATCCTGAGCACAGAGCTATCATGAAACAAAGCAAAGACAGAGGAGGCATTTCCTTTAACCATCCAAATTTCACCATTTCGAAACACTCAGGAAGATGTTTATTAACCTTATTTAGAACTATAGCTGTGAACCTCGGTGGCATCTGCCCTAAGATGAACTGCAACACCGCTCTGTCACCTACTGCTCTGGCATATGACGTCACTAAGCTGCTTATGTGCCTCGGGCCACCTTCTTTATACGATGTATAGTCATAACATTTGCCTCTCAAACTATGATGAGGACCAAATGAGCCGAATTGTGAGAGCAGTTCTGGAAACACTGCCTGCACATTATAAACACAGCAAGTGGAAACCTTCATTTGAAGTGTGAACGTTTCGTGTCCTAACTCTCAACATGAGGGTATTTGGAGATGGGGGCTTTAAGAGACCATTGGGCAGATGAGCTCTTGGGAGTAATGGAATTTGTGTTCTCCAAAGAAGAGTGCTTTCCCTTCATCTCTTTCCATCCCTCCTCATCACTCCTTCCCTTTCTCTCTGTCATAGAAAAGAGACTGCTGGCCAGCCAGGAAAAGAACCTTGCCATGTAGCTAATTTGTGGAAACATTTCTTTACTACAGAGAGCCTTGTAAGTTAAGGTAACTTACTAAACCCACAAGGCCTTTTTCCCCCAAGTAATATGTGCAGAAAATCATCATCATCATCATCATCATCATCACCACCACCACAGGGAAGAGAAGTGGCCAGCATGTTGTTCTGGTTGATCTGGTGATAACTGCTTTTTGAGTCCTCAGCCACGCTGGGTGAACTTTTCAGTGAATCAGCTGCCTTTGAGTCACTAATACTCCTGAAACTAACCTCAATAAACACATTGGTTCGCCACGCTACATTTATTTCAAAGTGTTTCTTTGTTCTGTTATCAGTGCCCTATCTGTGATGGACAGATGTCTGTTGACATCTCCCAAGGAAATGTCATACAAAATCTCACCAGGAACTTATCAGTTCATCTTAGACTTTGCAGCTCCAGCCCTGTAAGAAATAAGGCTCTGTGCTTTAAGCCATTTAGTCTGTGGTATTTTGTTACAGTCTCTGAGCTAAAGCATAATCAACTATCTTTAAAATATTTCAACACAAAGGTCATGACAGAATTAAAACAGCAACACTGTGCACGCCATAGAAAAGTAGACTAGGCCCAGGGAGAAGTGAGGTCTTGGACAGCATCAATGAAGACTTAGTGGCAGGAAAGGGTCAAGAGTATCCAACCTTTGGCAGAGGAACTCAGAAGACAGTTGGCAGATAAGGTCTTCTGCATGCTGGGTAAAAACACTAGGTTATAGGATATGGGGTGGTGGTAGAGTGAGATTTTGATTCATTGGCAACAGTCATCAGCTATTCATGAGCGAAAAATTAGCCAGATTCAGACAGAATTCAATTCAGAAGTCTGTCTCTTTAGATGTAGAAAACACATTGTTTAAACCAGAGTAAAAATTCAATTTAATTTAATTACTACACCAATCTCACACCTAACAGTGAGCACTGCCTGGGTATCTGACTCAGTGCCCACTACTATCTTCGTACCACTTAGTTGCTATTGTATAGGTGAGACATACACATACACACCACAAAGTGAGTGAAAGAGGGCTCGTGTGGTAAAGCCTTGGTTGCCAGTATCTAACAATAACTGGGGTGACTGGTGGAACCTATGAGAGGAGAGGCCCAGCAGGTCATTGAAGTCATGCCCCTGATGTGGTCTGTAGGTCTCCATCTCTTCCTTTACACTACACTTCATGACTTGTGATGGGTGCAGCTTTGCTCTGCTGCATGTGGCTGCCATGACACATCCCAGGCCCAAATCAATGAGCCAACCAACC